TTCGTAGAAACGTCATCTATGCGTTTAAAACGACAACATGTCGTTTTGGGTCACAAGATCACAACATGTTGCATTAACTAATTTATAGAGTATCTTATGTGGATACGATGGAATATAAAGTGAAACGAATACAAAATTTGTTAAAATGGTACTTAGTCATTTAAAAAGGCATGTTGAATAATTACATGTTTTGGACTTTTGTGAACATTGAACTAGAAAAATGGCTGTCATAAGATTAAAACGTCCACACGCCATTTTAGGTGATGTGTCGATGTCAATGGGAAACGTGCTATGTTCTGTATATCCAAAACGGAAATCATCCAAATGAGTAGAACCGAAAACTAAATGAGTAGAAACGTCAGCTATACGTTTAAAACGACCAGATGTCGTTTTGGATTACGGGGTATCGTTTTCACTCCGAAACGATTAAAAGAGTGTTTGGAACATCATGCATGACTCACTATCATTGAACGGACTACACGTGCTATGTTTTGGATATCATACTTTCTATTTACGTTTTTCTTTTGTTGCCAAGTGTAGGGTAGTTTCCAACCGAATCATAGAGTCGACAAATATGTAGACCGCAACGTCGAAATGTAGTAAAAACCTTCATCCCTGAACTTTTACGTGGTTACGGGTGCGAATGAACTGAAACAAACACTAAATGAGGAGAAACGTCAGATATACGTTTAAAACGACCAGATGCCATTTTGGAACATCATGCATTACTCACTATCAATGAACGAACTATACGTGCTATGTTTTTGATACCATACTTGCTATTTATGTTTTTCTTTTGTTGCCAAGTGTAGGTAGTTTCCAACCAGATCATGTAGTCAACAAATGTGTAAGTTACTTACAGAAAAATAATGTTGGTCATTATCGGATGAACTTTGTATCTAATTTGCTGTTCAAATATTGCAAAAGTTTGAATTCGTTTAACTTTTATATTAATATAAGTGAATATAAAGTGAAATGGACACAAAACTAGTTGAAATAGCAACTAGCCGTTTAAAATATCAGCATGCCAGTTTGTATCACAGTATCTCGATTTCGCTTTAAAACTATGCGATCATGTTTTTG